CTTCCATTAATAATTCATTCGGTCAAATGACAGGAAACTATTGCGAATCACCGATGCCTAACGCCACATTGAATACATCGAGTCATTAATCATACTAATTGTAAACTGATTGATAATCACGTCAAATAATATCATTAAGTGAAAAAAGAGAAAGGAATTGATTGCGTATAACAGAAACGCGTTAATTTGCGAAAAATGCGGATATGTAGTGAGAGCGAAAAGTGAGTTATACATTTTACAAAGATTAGGTGCCCATGATATTTATAATATAGCAGTTATACTATACTATAGTGTAATATTTATAATTTTTCATTTATAATTTATAATATTTATAATTTCTTCACGTATGTGAAGATGCATTACTTCATTTTTTACAATTTCGAAGGAAAGAAAAGTAACTGTTCTAAAACTCTGCAATTTACTGCAGGTATATCACTTTTGTTGGAATTTTGAAGGAATGTAGTATGTGTATTTTATAAAATGTTTATAGATTGTATTTAAATCTATCAAGTAATTATGTGTTGTTCCTATTTATTGATAAATAGCGAATTAATGAAGTGATTGAACGAGCAATTTTATCGTACTGATTACCTGACCAGTCTGATCATATACTAACCTATACTACTTGACAGCTATGTAATCATCTTCATATTTTATTTTTTCTGATTTATGGAATGTACTATTAAGATCGAAACAGTATTACAATATATGATATTTGTGGCATTTCAAATATACATAATTCTTTTAATATTTACTTGTCAATAAAATAACTATTCTACCGAATTTCACAGCACATGTATCCCTCTTGTGTTGAAGATTAAATTGGAAGTAAAAATCTAATGTTTCTTTTTCAGATTATATTTAAATCTATTAATTAATCGAATGTTATTTCTATTCATCGATAAATAGCAAGTTAACAAAGTAACTGAGCAAGCGATATCGTCACATTGATCTCCAGGTGTCTGACTACATGCTGACCTATATTACTTGGTGACTATCTACATGGCTAGATACATATTCACAAAGCTAGTTAAAAATTGGTTGTCACAAAGTCCACACACTTCAAAGTTGAAACTTCGTTTCGGATATCACTTTTTAAAATTTTTAATGGAAACAGCGAATATAGATAAAATAGTATAATATTAGAATAAATTACATACACAGCACGCTAAAAACGTTAAGTAATTTCAAGTATGTATAATTATTTAATTTCTCTTCATCTAACAGAGAATACAAGGAAAAAAATTTTTTTTTTTAAACTACGTCCCAAAGCAAACTATAATTTAATTAAATTACCACAATCTTTACATCATAATATAAAAAAAAAGTATTATTAGAATTTCGTATCTTCATCGTACAGTCTTGTAATTTACAATCGCTCAATAGAATGAAATTTGTATTCCACCCTTTTGACTCATTTTCATAGGTAGAACAACCACCTGTTATTATCCCAGAATCGGCTAAATTCAAGTATTAGTTGATGAACCTACATACTTGATTTTCTTCGAAAGCGAAGCCTCGAACGAACGAATTTTGTCCTTTCTTCCCGATTAATTTTTGCGCTTATCACAAAATCATCCTCCAGTGGATTGTTCGCGACTCGTGGGACATTCAGTATAACTTGATCGCCCGAATGAAATCACCTTTCTACCGGGTTATTTATTCATCACAGGTGGTTCGCTCCTGTCATTCGGACGACAATCGGCAGCAATTCACATGGAAATTGGATTTGCTTGAGGTTTCATTATGGTCGTTCGCCTTATCGTCGTTTGAATTATACGCGGCAATCTCGCGACCGCAATATCGATTCCCGCGTTATCGCGTTTACCCACGACAAACCGTTCGCATCTTTCCCAACCAATAACGCTCGCCAGAACGGAGATTTTTGATCGCTTACAACGTTAATGCACGGTTTTCCGTGTAATCCCGCCGATTCGTAGTAATTATCGAGGAACAGCCACTTGTTAGCCTCGCAGAATTATCTATATCTTGCAAAGTGATCTACAAAGTGTGAAAAATTGGAGTTTTAAGGTGTTGTACATGGAAAACTACGTTGGAAAGATATTAATAATATTTTTCAGCTTAAGGCTTCGTTTCTAATAAAATTCTGTTTTATTATTTATCTCGTTCGTTTGTTTATTTATAACTGTTATTGATTTGTCTAGCTGTAAATAAAACAATTTATCTTTCATATATCCTAAATAAAATGGTTAGTTTCCATACTCAACTTGTTATATTCGTATATATTATTTATTCCAGTTTGTATTCTATATTTTATATGATACTCTCACAATATTTAACAGATAAATTAATTTTCTATTCAAGCATCAATTTTTTTAAATTATTCTTATAAAAATGCGAGTCCAATTAATTGTCCAGTCTAGAATTGTCCAAGTTGCAAATTTTCAAATCCAGTTCTCTCGGCGAAAAAAAAAAAAATATTAGTCTTTTGGACTTATATTTAAACGTAGAATTACCAGTTACGATATCACGGACACTTTGTAATAATTTCACGTAAAAATTCCGCCTCCACCGTAACACGTTTTCACGAAAAGATGCGAGTCGAGAAATTATGTTCGTAAAAATGACAGAAAAGAAAGAAAGAAAAAAAAAAAAAAAAACGACAGGGGGAAAACAAGTTCTCGAAGGTAACAAAAGATAAAGTGTCAATGCGCGGAGCAAATTAAAACGCAGCCCGGGTACTCGGGTGTCTCTCTTCATATCGAATGAACGAATAAAAGAATTGAAAAACACACACACACACACACGCACACACACTTGAAAAACTGCGGGTAAACAATGGACAAAATTCGGGAAAAAGACGGGAAAAACAAGCTCTTTCGTTTCCCATAAAAACATTTCATCTAGAAACATTCGGCCGGAGGGGGGAAAAAAGCATCCGGGTTGAAACATGAACGAAATTCCGACAAAACTTTCCCCGTCTTGGATCGCGCGCGTTTTTCGAGCTGTGGTCGCGGCGATGCCCGAGGCGGCGAGCTTGTCCTTCAAGACATTCCTTCCACCGAGGAAAAGGCCTCTTATCGGTGATTACGACTTTTTAACGGGGATTTCCTCCTACTTTCTCTCTCTTCCTCTCTCGTCTTATCTGGCCGCACTTCTCGTTTCCTTTGCCCTTCTGGCTGCTCGTACCGGCTCTCCAACTCCGCCGCTTTCGAGCCGTTTCCGCGGTTGTAACTGGATTCCCCGGCACCATCGTCTTCAAACCCTTTTGGCCGACCTCGCCGAACCGAACTTCTTCCACCTCTTTCCCCCTCGCACTTCTTTCCTTTCTCCTCTCTTGCTTTTTTCCCTCCTCTCTCTCTCTCTCTCTCCTCTTTCTCTTTACTTTGAATTCGATTTGCATATGAAAGAATCTCATTCAGGAGTTCTTGCTCGCCCCTGTGGCCGGTCTTTGCGTTCTTTGAAGCGTTCTCGATCTGGGTCCACTCGAGGCCGAGCCTGTGTCATGCAAATTTTATTATTGTGACCGCTGTCGGATCTGACCAAACGCCTTCGTCTTTTCGACGTCGTCGCTCTTTCTTTCTTTTTTTTTTTTTTTCTCCTCTTTCTTCTTTTTTGCGCGGGCGATCGCGGCCGCGTTGATCGCGATTGACGGTTGCGCTCGATGTGGTTTTTCCTGGTCGACAAAAGGGGCAGGGCTCTGTCGGGTTGTTCGATCCGCGCGAGAGATTGCGAGAGGTTCTACAGAGCAGTCCCGACAGACTTTAGATTTTAGATATTCGCCGCGATAGGACGATGTCCGATTTTCTGTACCCGAGTTGGCAAAGTTCTGGAGATTTTTTAAAATAAGGTTAATGTACAGTAATGTAGGTAGAAGAAAGTTTATGAGGCGTGAGTATGGGGAATTTATGAAATGGGCTTGAGTTATACTATCCATCCATTGTAGAGAGTATAAAATACAAAATTAAATCAGATACTTTGAACATTAGCTAGTTAATAAATTACTACGTGCATTAAGCATCCTTCATTTCTCCAATTTAATTTGTCCCTTGATAGTAAAAAGGTGAATAATTAACAATAAATAAAGAGTGAATTTCTATTTATTTACGTGTAAGGTATATAGTTCGCATGTAGGTGTACAACTTTGTATCGTGAGTTTATATTCTCGTATTTTATATAACTTTGTTTTGGACTTTTATTTGTTACTATGTCTAATACTAGAACTACAATGTAAAAATTTGAGAAATTAAACCATAATCTTATAAATGGGAAATATAATATAGTTTAATAGAAAATAAAAATATAAATATTTCCTATTACAATTATTTGCTATGAAAAAGTAATCAATCCTCGAGTTCTGAAGAAAACGAACAGTCTGAGGTAAAAATAAAATGAAATAATTATTTCGGATAAAATGTTTCTAGTTACATACTGGATGAACGTATACAAGCTAAAATATTTAAAATACTAGGAATGTTGAATTTAAAATATTAGGAATGGGAAAATATTTATGAATACAATGAAGATCAGGCAATTTTCATTCAAATCTCCAAAATGCAATATTTCAAATCTATGAAACTACTCTGAAGTAATTATAAATTAGTCATTTGTTAGTCGTCAGTGTTAAAACTAATACGTATAACATATAATTGTGGTATAATAGTTACAACATGTTGTATGTAATTTTCGTCAAATATTCTAAAAACGAATGTTATTCGTATTTACTCTGGCCTGGCTTGTTATTAAAAGTGTTAAAAAAATAAACACGCACAACGTTTTATAAGAAAAGTCTCAAGCAGAAACGAATGATGTAGAGACGAGAACATAATGACATCTCATTGACATCTAGAAAAAGTCTGTCTCGTCGAATGTAATATTCACGAACGTCTGCAGAAAATTCCGCTTGAGGATTCAACCGATTTTGCGCGTTAGTTTATGGTACCGTGCTCCCTTCTCTGTTGATTCAGCGCAGCCTTGTTATTGTTGTTCGTGGCAAACATTGTACGTACATCTACAGACGCACGTGTTTTTGTTCGCAGTGCCTCCAAATATAGAGGACTACCAGTCCTCGTCAGACGTCATTGTGCGAGAAGGGGCGAACGTGAGTCTAACGTGCAAAGCGACTGGCAGCCCCAAACCAGCCATAAGTTGGAAGAGAGACGACGGCTCGAAGATCTCGATTAACAAAACGTTCTCTGGTAAATACGCATCATTATTACACTGTCGAACTAACATTACCACGATGTACCTCGGTCTCATTTTACACTTTGCTGTACATGTGTATTGCGTAAAAAGAATCGATATTTATTTAAACGCTGTTTATTCGCGTGTAGAAACGATACTGATAGATACATATTTTTGACTGTGCATTTTGGATCAAATTTTCAATCGTATCGTTTCTCCGTGTAAAAAGAGACTGAGAGTGTTTTAACAGAATATGGGAAAAATAGATATGATATTACCACGACAACCGAGTTTAGGGAAATGATGATATATTATTGCAACTGGGCATTGAAAGTTGATATTACTTTTCAATGATTATCTTTTTCACTGCTTTTCACGTGCTCTAGTTCTTTGCTCGTTACGTTTTCTCGGTATATATCAAGTACTATAGAATTTTTGTTGTTGCATATCTTTAAACTCGTTGAATATTCTTACAAGTTGAATTTACAAGTTCAATCTGACGTTGATAAAAGAAGTAAAAAGTCTAATATAAAAGTTATTAATTCTTACAGACCATGAAGAATTCAGAAACGTATAATTCACTTTTAATTAGAAATTACAAGAGAAGAGAGAATTATTTTCGAAATCTTCAGACGACGAAATAAATAAGTTTGATAATTATTATAACATCATATTATTTTCGCGATTAAATTATTTCGTTCGGTTCCTTTTTCATTGAAAACAAATTATTTTTAACGAAAAGTGACTTATACTGATTAATTTTCGATACCTTCATATACATATGTTCATGTGTGCTGATATAAAAATACCAAAATTAACCTCTTAAGAAGTCGCAGAATTTTAAGAAACTCTATCGAAAAGAAACATTTTATTTAATTATTTCACTTTCATATCATACTCTAACTTTTTTTATTTATTTATGAACGTTCTACTTTCGTATAAATATATTTTATTATTATTCGTATTATTATTAATATATATATTATTATATTATTATTATTCATATATTATTATATATTATATATATTATTATATTTCGTATATATAGTATAAAATTCTACCTTCATATATATAAGAAATGTAACGCGTATGAAAATTTACAAACGAACGAACGATTGGATCGTAAGGAATTTTCCTTTGGCACGCTTGAAAAACAAAAGTGAACAAAATTATTTATTCATTTTTCCAAAACGTCCGATCGACCAGGTACATCCGTACATTTCCCTCCCCCTTAATCCACGTTCTGCTCAGAGTACGACTGACATCGATCCGTGACCGTGTTTCGATAGTTTCGGCGAGCAGGAGAGCCGCGCGGCAATTAAAAATAATGACATTCGTCTGGCTTCTGTTCGAAGATCAAACACAGCTGCACCTTAGAAAACTGTGTTGCCGTCGGTCTTAGAGAAGATCCACGTTGCTCGCGGAGAGGAAAGTAAAGGAAAATTGAAAAAGAAGACAGGGGAGAAACGAAAACTTGTCGGACGACAGTGCATTTAATGGAAAAGAAGGAAGAACGAAGGCATTCCTCATTAACGCGTCACGCAATTTCGAGTATTACTCGTGTGACTCGTGAACTCGATGTCTCGTTAACGACCGGCGCGAAGAATATATCGCGTAATTACGTTGGCCACTGATTTCGACGAGGAACGACGCGGTTTGAATTTATTTTTACACGCGGGCGTTCTACGCGGGTCAGAGAGCATACCAATTTATCGAAATAAATACAAGATGATACCATGAGCAACGCGTCAACTCTGTTGAAGAACACGATCTTCGTGCTTTGCGAAAAAATTAAAAATTTTCGTTCCGGCCGTAGGAGGGTGGTGGGAATTATTTAAAACGCATCGGGGGTGGGGAAGCGTTACGCGGTTGCTCGACTCGAGAAAAAGGGAATATGTAATTAACGTGTTCGTCAGGTGATAAACTGATTCCGCGTTTGCGAGTTGGTAGTTAAATTATATTCTGAGGATGGCTGGTTAAGACTTTGATGAAACAGTTTTGCAGCGATGCAAGCGTAGGGATGTAAAATTTTTTCAATTTCATTTGAAATGTAAAATAACTTTTTTTTCCGAGTTGGTCTCGATTCTCTCTCGAATTTTATTCTGAAGTGAATTTTTATATTGAACTTAAATTGAAGAATTGAACAAAAATTTTATCTGAATCTACTTACTACTGTGTATAGTATTTTTATTAAAAGTAAGCCGAAGAAATTAAAATGGCGAAAATAATGAATTAAAATAGTGAATCTCTTTTATTATTTTCTTTCTATCTTCGTACTCGTGAAAATACAAATCTGCATGAAAATTCGCAATACAACAATTATGAAATTGTAACTTTCACTATTTCTTCCAAATATCACAAATAATAAATTTGCTTTTCCATGAATGAATTTTTAACGAAATAATAATGACCAAATGTTGGAAAATCAACACATTCAGGAATGTATTTTTGAAATCATCAACAAAGGATCGGCGATTTATTGAATTTTCGATATTAGAGTCCGTACGAAGATAAATTCATTTGGCATTTTCCCATCCCATCTTTCTCCATCTCTGCTCGTTCGTTTGTCAATTAAATAAAATTAGCTTTCGGACACGGTCGAGTGGTTATTTAGCAACGTCAAACGGAAGAGGACAAAAACGCATCGGACGTGTCACGCTAAAATGTCGGTTATTATTTTCAGTATTGGAGTGGAAAGGCGACACACTGGATATCACGCGTATCTCAAGACTGGACATGGGCGTTTATTTATGCATCGCGACGAATGGCGTCCCTCCGACAGTGAGCAAGCAGATCAAAGTCTCTGTCGACTGTAAGCGAATAACTTTCGTTTCAACCTATATTTTAATCAATCATTCGTTCAATCTTTTCTCCCTTTTTCTTTTTAAACAAATTAAGAATTCATTTGAAATGTTTGACGTAGTAAAATTAAGTTAGACAAATTTCTTGTTTCAGTTTATACAATAATCAGTTGGTTGTTAGATTTTCGTTCTGATTTTTTGAATCGAGAACTCATACAGAATTCTAGTGATATTCAGAATACTTTTGCACGTTAAATGCCAATTAGAACTCAAACGTTCTTAAGTATCGTTCGTCAAGTTAAATAACAATTTCTCGTACGTTTTCAAAGTTGAATCCACGAAATTCGAAACTTGCAACTAGAGAAAAATTATCCCATAATCACGGAATTATTGCGATCCTTGCGTTCGAGCAATAAAGTAGCTCGTAAAAATAAAACATCAAATGCCATTGTTGTTCGTTGATTTGTGCAACGTCATTTCCCCCGTTTTCAAAGCGAGATCTGTATCTAGAACTTATAAATAAAGGGAAGAGAAACGCGGGACGTCTGTCTGAAACGCGCGAACGTGAGACGCGAGGTGTAAAGCTTGGATAAGGGGTTGAAGAACATACAATTTAATAATAGAGAAAGGTGTCCGGCGACAAAGCAGCCTCTTTGCCGCTTTCTCATTCTCTCTCGTTCCTTCTATCGTCGCAAAAAGAGCAAAAAAGACGGGGCCGTGGGGGAAGGGGCGGCGGATAAGTGAGAGACAAGGGGTGAAAACGAGACGGAGGAACGATGCTTGACTCGCGCGAAAGTGTAAAAGCGAACGGCGCGGCGCGGTGAAGAGCAACGGTGGTGGGATATAAAAGTAAGCTCGGTTGGTTGAACCGCGACGTACTACTGCTCCGTTTCTATCACGTATACTTGCCTATTGTTGCCGTTACTGCTCCTCCTAAATACCGAGCGTGTGTGCCTTTTCAGCAGCTTCTCCCCGTTTCCACCCCTTCGCGAAGCTCGATTGTTGCCAATGAAAGATCGTATCGAACCGTTTATTGCGACGTCCCGGTTATCCTTAAGCTGCCGATAGAAAAATTCGATGACACGGAGGTTTGAAAGTTTTACACACTGTCGTGGATAGAAGGGGGATTAGAAAGAGGAGAGCGAGACGAGACGAATTTTAAAAGTTTAATTAACTTCAATGAAACAATTACGGTTGCATTGTAAATGCTTGAAATTTATACTTTGTGTATAAATGACTGGAATTCTTTTTTTTTTTTTTTTATGATCATCAGGAACCATCGTCGACGAGTAATTAAACAAATGTGATTTAAAATTTGAATTTAATTAAATTTCTGTCGTCGATAATGATCACTGGCAGCCGATATTTTGATCATTCGTAATGGTTATTCGTAATCGGAGAAATGAAAGATTAACACTGATGACGTCGATAGTGTAATATTAAAGTGTATTTTTCGCACTTGAATATCATTCGAAAACTTCCCTGAATTCATCCCTTTATTTAAAATTCGAATTTTCTTCCGCTGGAAAATCCTTTGCTAAAAAAAAAAAAAGAAAAAAAAAAGAAAAAACCAGCGTCGAAGATCGAACGCTCAGTTATTCAGCGTTAATTGCCGAGAGAAGAGAAAAATAGAAGGGGTTGAACTATCGTCTAATGTAACATCCCCTCTCGCGCGCGAAACGTAAGGAATTCACCTCATTCGAGGCAAAAAACGGTGTACAGCGTGGCAAATTGTCCGTGTCGTTCGAAGAGTACAAGCAAAAAAACGAAACGGTCGCCGTCTTCCTGTTATCAAAGGGATAACGCTGCCGACAAACGAACGTAAAAAAAAAGAAAAAAAAAAAAAAGCTGGCAGGGGTCCACGCAGAATGCCGGGTTTCGTTGTTGCACGGTCGCCCGTAAGAAAATCGAGCCACGTGCAGTGGCGCGCGCATGCACACACCTCTTCAAGAGACGAAAACCAAGGAGTTATCCCTTTAGTTAAAGCGAGACTAATTAATTTAGCGGCGCCGTAAAGAAGCGTCGAATTGCGATTCAGGGCCAGAGACCGGCGGAAGGGGTTGGATGGGGTTGATACGGGGTCTGCCGGGGTTGAAAAGAGGGGGAGATGTTTTTGCCGCTGGTCTCTCGGCGGATGCGCGCCGAGGATTATCCTTTTAGGCGTCCTTTAATTCCATTTGTAGCCGGTGCTCCCGGGCAAAGGCTTTTGTCAACGAGTATTACCCCGGGCCCTTTGAAGTCAAATTGCGATCGAGTAATGTAATAGTTCTGTCCGCGATATGCATTACCGGCTCGGAGCTGGAATTCAAGGAAGGAACTCGCCACTCGCGGGGGAAGAAAATAGAATTTTCTGCGTGAAACGTGTCGAAGAACGCAAGTTTATCGTAAGGATTCTCGTAAGAACGAGTTGCACGGAATCCATGTCACTTGGCTGTGTATCAAGCAAGGGGATTACGAGAGGAGTACGAATTCGATGCAAGGAGAAACTATGACGTAGTATTGTGAGGTATTAATTTTCTTTTTTCAATAAAATATTCTATGGAGTAGTCACTAATTATTGTCGCGTCTCAAATATTACTGACGTTCTTGAGGATGCAAAGGGTCTTTGTTAACGAAAGGTAGTCATTCAGTTAGGGGTGTAATGTGATTGTATGATTCTTTCTCTTTGTAGCTGGCAGGGTTTCGGAGATTTCAAGGTCTTCTCTCCATTGTTTCAAATGGGATCGTATGTCTTTTGATCCTTTAATCGATACTCTGTGCAAAAGAATAAATTGTATTTTAATTATAACTTTGTCAAATCTATCATATGTCGTATATTGAGGACGTAAAATGTCTCCGATATATAGTTAGTTAGAAGTCTGTCAAATTTTCAATATTTGACTGAAGTCTACCTGATATAATAACAATAATAATAATAAGAAGAAGAAGAAGAAGAAGAAGAAGAAAAAGAAGAGTTTCATAATGTGTAAAAATTTAATTTTTTTTAATGTGCACGGTAATCGTATAGTAAACTAAAGCCGATTTTTCGTTCCGATTTATTTATCTCTCCTAGTAAACGAATGCAACGATGCGTCCAGAGCAAGCGAACGAATGCTTCGACCAAATTCATGCTCATTTATTACACTAACACTGGTTGAATGGAATAAACGATACGATACAAATTCACGAATTTAATCGAATTGGGATGGCGAACGAGCATTCGTTTGTTCGATCGATTTTCAAATTCTTACATTTTCTAAAATACTTCGCGATTGACTGTGACTTTTTCTATCGTATTGCAACACTTCGTTTTATACAAATAATTGGATAATTTCGGATGACTGAAGGATCTTTTTTGCAAAAGATTCTTTTACTAGAAACTTTCTCTTTGACAGCGAAATACAGATAAAAATGCATTGGTAGAATTATTCTGAGTAAAATGAAAAAATTATAGTATTAAATGTTAATCCTCTTGCTCCCTGGTACCTTTGAAATTTTCTTGGTTCTCTAAATATTCCTTTTAATCATAAGGCTGCGAGTTTCTTTTTAATTCATTGAAGATTCGTTAAAAATTCTCTTGGCTTTGAAATACTGTATCAGAAATTCGACTCCGTCTAATCGTGAAATTGATTAATTACGTTTATTTGTAATAGATAATTATTATCTAAATTGTATTTCTCGAGGAAATGTGTAAATACGTGTATGTATTTTCTGCAAATCCATATCTCTGAAAATATAATTAAAAAAAAAAAAAAGAAAAATAGACTCTCGATAGAAAATTGTTTATCTCGTATCACGTGCAATTTCGCTTTTTTTTTTAAACAAATCTACAGTAAATCACTAAGAAAAAAAAAAAAAAGAAAATGGTCAGTAGTGTGCTATACTATTTCAAGTACAAATTAACCGAAGTCATGTTCAAGAGTTTCGTAAATTCTATCTCAAGCGTTACGCGTTCCAAGGCACCTCGGCGATAAAGGGTGAAGAGAAAGTCAAACAGATCGAACCTCGATTTTAAATCCTCTACTAACCGCGATTAAAACTTCATTTTAGAGTATAATGGCCAATTGAAGTGATCCGACTTCGCGTGTTTGATAAATCGCATCGAGGTGATTGCTCTCGGTTCCTAAAGTCTTGTGCAGACGCGATCGAGCCGTCTCAATTGTCAAAGGAACGTGTTGTTTAAGTTAAATGGAAGTGGGAATGGTTAATTCGCCGCAGAGTTTGCGCGTGTCGCGTGCCACCGGATCTACTTCCGTCGCTCTCGTATTCTGTCGCTGGTTCGAGATAGCTTTCGGAGAATTGACCGACTTAGAATTTCCGCGGTTAGTCAGATGTCAATTACGATGGCTCACTTTTACTCAATTGAAGCCCTCAAGAAATAGATATTATTTCTCGAGTTGATCTTCGAACTATTTCAGGAAGTGACAATTAAATTTCGTCTATACGTAACACCGCGCCAGATTTAATAATTTGGTAAATACTATTTTTGGGTCAAATTTGTTTTGACAGTAACATAATTACTTTCTAAAGCAAAGTTTTACACTTTCCTTCCCTATTGAATATTTTAACACTTTACGTTATTCTGGTACCAGAATAATTTAATTCGATATTTTTCAAGTGACTCAAGTATACTATTGTAACAATATACGAAGATAAAAATAAAGATATATTTCCAAGTATCTTACGATTGAAAACAGTAATGAATAGATTTGTCTATTAAATTTTCCTTTAATTTATATTTTAGCTTTTCGAGCTATTCCAAAATGTAGCACGCGTTTCACATTTATTCATATTATTCACATATAGATGTGTTTTTCATTTTTCAACAAGAATTTCTCGAAGCAAACTTTTACATCAGATTTCCCAGATTTCGAGGAATGTTCTCGTTTTTCGAAGTTATTCCGATATCACGCGATTATCCTCTTTCTCAGATTCGATTCAATAGGACATTTTCTTTCTTCTACGTGTTGCTTATTCCAACAGTTTTTCCTTTCCAACTTTCTCCACCATCCCAATTTGCAATCGAACCATGTCACCGTAGGTTCAAGCGCGACGCAGAATATGCAAAGACGCGTGAAAACAAGAAGACGAGAACTCGAACGGCGCCTCTCTAAATTGTTAATTCGTCCAGTGCCACGAAACAATCTCCGCTCTCGACGAGAGCTAACGAATCCCACTCGAATC